TTCAGTCCACTATATCTCTGTAGTCCAATATATTGATGGTCTTCATAATTTTCTCAGGAACAATACAAAGAAAGATATTACAATACAGTTGTAAAACCTGCCTGCAAATCATTGTGTTTTCAGTTTCTCAGATTTGCAGTATTAAAGTAATTAATTGATCGCTGATGACAACACAAAATCTTCTCATACCTGGGATGCACGCCTCAATTTAAGGCCCACATAATATAAGTATAAAACTACCCCTCAGATGTAATTAATATCCTTGATTACCTTGTTTGGCAGCTTGTTGATCCTTTGGCCTTGTTCTTTCTGTCAGATTGAGCGTTTGCAGAACGTTCACCTGTGTCGCGCCTATGAAGCACAGAAGAAGCACATTTCTGATAAGAATGCACACGAGGGAGGAGCAGGAGAGAAACTTCTGTACCACGGGACGACCCAGGAAAATTGTTACTCCATAATGAAAACTGGATTCAACAGGCGCTTTGCTGGACAAAATGGTGAGTGTTTTTATAGTCTACAATTACAGAACATATTAGCATTTATCTCCTAAGGTTTTGAAAAGTACCAAATGCAAACTGTCAGTGCCAACAACTTGCATAACATGTTTTAACCAAAGTCAACACCGGAGTCTTCTTACATTTGCACAAATATTTTCAAAGCACTGAACAAGTAGAACAAGGAGAGTAGAGCTACAATTAAATGTGGAAAGAAAAAAAACATTGTCTTTACATTAACAGGTTTTCTGTTTCAGGGCATAATAAAAGTAACCTGGTCCTTAGCAGTCTAGTCTTAAAATTAAGTTAATAAAACCCCGGTTGATAGGGAAACATGATATATTAAGTTTCATTATTCTTTTAATAAAAATTAAGCAAAAGGGGGAACCAGTGTATGAAAACTAAAGTGTCCCCTTAAGAAAACATCTTTATAAAAGCAGGAGTTTGGGCATTCTACTGATCTAGAGCATTCAGGTGTGTGTCAACATAATAACACAATTTTCCTAGGAGTGGACTTCCAAGCAAAGTTGCCCCAAGGTCAGGACCTTGCAATGCTCAAAGAAATTGTGAAACACCCGAGAGCTACATCTCAGACTCTACAGGCATCAGTTAGCATGTTAAAATAAAGTTCATCTCTATGCTTTGAGATTAGAGACAATCTTGCCTAAAATGATTCATTCAGACCAGAATGGCTTTATCCAAGGGAGGCAGGGGTTTCACAATATACGGAGGGTCATGATTATCATTTATGAGAAAAAAGAGACCAGAGACAATGCGTTAATCTCAATGGATGCAGAAAAAGCCTTTGACAGGATCGAATGGCCATTCTTATTTGAAGTTTTGAAAAAGTTTGGTATTGGAAATATATTTTTTAAATGGATTCAGTTGATATACTCCAACCCTCAAGCAGAGATTTTAACTAATGGTCTTTTTTCCGCACCATTCAGGTTATATCGTGGAACTAGACAAGGGTGCCCCTTGTCACCTCTCTTGTTCACCTTGGCAATTGAGCCTCTTGCAATGGCAATTCGGAATCATAAAAGCATATCAGGAATTAAAGTAGGCAATGCTGACCACCGTATTGCCCTATATGCAGATGATGTGATCCTGTTCTGCACTAATTTAAACAAATCAATACCATCCATATTAAGTCTCATTAATACATTTAGTACATTTTCGGGTTATAAAATAAATTTTGATAAATCCGAAATATTATTTTTGAATAAAAATGAACGACAATATCCTCCAATCAATACTCCCTTTCTGCTATCTAAACATGGGTTTACTTATCTGGGTGTGAAATTAACTCACACAATTGAAAATATTCTGGCATCCAATTATAATTCCTTAACGACGTCAGTTACTGCACTTCTAAACAGATGGATGAAACTACCTATATCTTTAATTGGTCGTATTAATATACTAAAAATGTCAATTTTGCCAAAATATCTTTACCTTTTTCAATCAATACCTCTCTCTCCACCAAACTCTTTCTTCTTAGATTTGCAAAAACTATTCCGAAACTTTATTTGGAATAACAGAAGACCAAGACTCAGAATCTCATTATTATACCTCCCTTATGAAAGAGGAGGTTTACAACTTCCAAATTTAAAGTGGTACTTCTGGGCTGCTCAAATCAGAGCGGCAATGTTTTATTTTGTTAATGAGCAAATTCCAGTGTGGGTTTCTATGGAGTCTACAGAAATCAAAATTCCCCCTAACTTATATCTTTACTCAGCCGACAGGAAGACACTAAATAAGCAAACTAAGAACCCCTTTCTAAAAACACTATAATGATCTGGTTTGAAATACATAACTACTTGGGAGAAATGATACAACTGTCTAGGTTTACTCCGATATTTGGAAATAACAACTTTCTTCCTGGTAGGGCGGATGCAGGTGTTAAATTTTGGTTCGATCAAGGTATAAGAAAAGTGTCTGATATATTTAGGAATAATACTCTTATGTTTTTTGAACAACTCAGAAGTACTTTTTCTATTCCTGCCAAACATTTTTTAAAATTTCTTCAATTAAGAAATTTTATCTTAACCACACAAGGTAACAGCTTAAAAATCCCCACCTACTCCTATATAGAAAACAGTTATAAAGCATCTAAATGGGAGAGGCCAAGTTTCTGCATTGTACAAATTATTTATGGAAAATTCCAAAGAATCAACACAGTCTATTTTAGAGGCTTGGAGGAATGATTTGCAAATGAACATATCTGATGATGAGTGGTATAAATCATGCTCCTTGGCCCAGAGTCTGACAATTAATGTGCAATCTCGGCTACTTCAATATAAATGGTTAACAAGACAATATATTACTCCGTCAAAAATGCATCATTTTAACTCAAACATCCCAGACACCTGTATTAAGTGTGGAGTGGACAGGGGCACTTTATTTCACTGTATATGGGAGTGTCCACATGTGAAAATCTTTTGGGAAAAGGTAATAAATCTGTTGAGTCAAATTATTGGTGATGTGATTCCACTTCATCCTAAAATATGTATTTTAAATATATACCCAAATAATTTTGTACCTGCTGCAAACAATAGAGCTCTGTTAACGATTGGACTTTTGGAAGCCAAGCGCTGTATTGCTATGTGTTGGAAAAATCAAAAAATATGTGGACTATCTCAATGGCTTAATGGACTGACATCTATACTATCTATGGAGAAAATAACTTATACATTAAGGAATAAACTGGACAAGTTTTGGGCGATATGGTCTAAATTCTACAACTTTCTGGAGAGCTGCAAAGTATACACTGTGGACTTAACAGCCTGAAACTCTAACTTGATTTGTATATCTGTCCTTCCCTTTTGTTATGGTTTGCTTTGTTTTTGTTTCTAGTATTATGTTGTTTCTGTTTCTGTTGTTGTTGTGGTTTTGTTTTTATTTATTTATTTTATTTTTACTTTATTATTTTTTATTTATTTATTTATTTATTATATATATATATTTTTTTTTTGCTCATGGTGCATCATGTAAAACCGGTTAAAACCAATAAATAAATGTTTTTAAAAAAGTTCATCTCTGTACAGCTAGAAAACAACTGAAAGAGTATGGCTTGTTTGGAAGGGTTGTATTTTTTAGTGCAGATACAAGACTAGTGCACCTTACAGTCATTCAGTTGACCATGAATGCCTCTGTTCTAGAGAGTCTAATGCGAGGCTATCTGTCTGACAGCTAAAGCATATCCAAACTGGATCATGCAGCAGGATATTGATCCCAAGCACAGCAAATCTACAACAGAATGGCTGAAGAAAAAGTGCTGCAATGGCCCAGTGTCCTTACTCAAATGCTGTGGTGGGACCTTGGGAGAGCTGTTCATAAATAAATTCCTGCAAACCTCAATGACCTGAAACAACGCAGTAAAGAAGAAGGGGGCTGAAATTTCTCCATAACAATGTGCAAGACAGATAAAATCACACAAGAAATGATTACTTGAAATTATTACTACTTAAGATGGTTTAATTATTAAGGTATTGAGTCGTAGGGTCTTAGTTTTTCATACACTGCTTCTGCATTTTGGTTTAGTTTATTTTAAACAAAATTTACTATCCTGTATGAGACTTAACAGATTTTTTACCTTATGAAGTGGTACGTGAGAAAAAACACTTTGTATTAATAGTTTTTTTACTCCATCAGTCCATTGAGCGGGCGTTGGTTGGCATGAGCAACCAACTTTGTGAACACCATAACACAAAATGAGGCAACATAGGATTTTCAAATTAATATCATAGGTGTTGTTGAAATCTCCCAATTCTTTGAATCTTTGGGCTGAAGGAAGGACAATACTCGGTGTATAAATGCTCAATCAACAATCATTTATTTCCATACAATTCAACACAAAGAGCATTTAGAACCATCATGATGGGGAGACATGCCTGAAGAGGGTCACAGCAGTCTCAAAATGGTGACGTGTTACTCAGCTTCTTATAGCCGCTAGTGGCCCCCACCTAGTCGTAAAAGCCCAAACATTCACATTCTTTCTCTGTTACGGCGCCTAAGTTATGACCTCGGCTCCCTGTCTTTCTCTGCTCTCTGTAAAGGTGGGGGTATGGAATGTGGTCTATCTCCCCTGTCTTAGACACAGAGTCTCCTGAACAATCTTTCTTTTTATGATTCAACAGTAAAGCATGTCAAGAAAACAGTGTAACACATTCACAGCAGATCAAGGATACAGAGTGATGCACACTTATCTAATAAACTAATAAGTGAATATGTTCTTTTAACTCAAAAGTATAATGAGAACTAAACTACATACAGATCACACACTCTATATTAAAGGGTATAATATGATCTACAGCAGTATTCTAATTCAACTACTTTGATTACATATATAAGGTAACATATAATAACAGAATAATCTGATAGTGTCTCTATTAAAAATCTTGTATAAGTTCAAATCTCAGTGGCCTTGAAGTCAGCACCCCTGTTTCAGTCTTTTTTAAAGATGACATTCAGAGTTTTTTCCCAATTTGCATTCAGTGAATTTTCATAATAGTAGTAAGCCTTTCACTGTTTCTGACTACCAGGAAAGAAAATGTTGTCCAATCAAATTGTTTTTAATTCTCCAATGTTTGTAAGGTAATCAGAAGACTGAAATAATGTTTTGGGGAAAAAAAGTTTTTATTTTTAAGATATCACATGCTCACTGTAGAGGACATTGGAAGGCCAAACAGGTAAAACTGAACTTTGATGGCAAACAGTTGCTCCCCCCGACCCAAAAAAAGGGGTAAACCTAAGAACAAGTTTAACATCCACAGACCAGCATCACTTTTGATTAGTTCTGTTGTGCTTATTTGGAATGATGCTTCAAAAAGCAATTCCCCTTATTGGAATCACAGAGAAATACCTTGCACTTTGTGCACATCACTTATGTTTTGCTCTTGCAGTTGGATCTGCGACATCTTGACGCATCTGTTTCATGTCCACCATCTCTGGAAGATGGATAGCAACATAGCGTCTCAGAGCTTCATTTGGCTGTGGTTTCCACTTTTGTTGTGGGGGAGTAGAGTCATCTTCACTGTCACTTGCGCTTCCTGCTTGAGCCCAAGTAATCAACTCTTCACCAAGGAGCAGCTCGAAGTCGAGGAACTTCAGTGGTTTCTTCCTCCACAACTGCAAGTCACTTCTATACCAAAGCCACGAGTTGTTTATTTCCAAAATAAAAAAAGTGTAGAACTGCACATGCTGTCTGAGTGCAAGAGGCCATCCTGTAGAAACTCAACATTCGGTCAACAAGGTCACGCTACCCATGTTGGTAGTGTACTCAGCAACTGCCAGTGGCTTTGGCACCTGGACAAACTTTTTGTCTTTCTTGGATCATCTTGTGCATGTGTCCTGAGGTTCAATACCATAGGCAGAGGATGCCTCATGAAGGTTCCAGTTCCAGTCAGCTCTTTCATCTTTAGGGTTTCAAGGAGGTTAATAGTTGTAAAGAACCTGTCAAAGAACAGGTGGGTTCCTTGGGGAACAGACTCTGCCAAATGAAGAACAGTTTGCTCTCCAATGCCTATTCCTCCTGTATCTTCAAAGGTAGTCTTGCCTTGGTAGACCACAAAGTCTAGTTGGTGCGGCTAAGACAAACATCTTCAATCCAGTTGGGCATGACTTGCCTGGTACATACAGGCGCACTGGCGCAATTGTTAAACAAAATTTGGCATTGTTTTAAAATAGTCAGATATGCGGATGTAGAACCCACACACAGGACTCTTTGAATGAAGACAGTGTGTTCATTTACAGTGAGGTGAGTGACAAAATGCAGAATATTTTCTTCTGGCGATTATTGTCTCCATTTCCTCTGTTCCCAAAACCTGTGCGTGAGCTCGATCCACCTGTTTCCGTGATTCTGCAGGAAACACTCCAAAAGCTGTTGTTCATGACGGGGAAACCACTCTCTGGACCCGGACTTGCAAGTAGACCAGAACACATCACACACACATGCACACACACAGATGAGGAAACAGGGAACTTGAAGGCACATCACCATGGCAAGGCACCCAGTGAGGACAGTGGGCCATGACAAAAATACAAACTCAAGATGTACTTTGAATTCCTGCTCCAGAGTGGACGCCGACTGGACTGTTTAGCTTGATCTGACTCCTCAATATCTGCTTGCCCTGCCTGAATTTCATCCTCAGAGCTCCCTGAATCATCTTCCTCTGCTTCTTGCTCAAACAATGCATCTTGATCTTCTTCATCAGATAACTCAAGATCTGAGTTTCCCTCAACAATGTGCAATAAAATTCAATATGCTTCTGATCATTTGAAAAAAACAGAAGAAAATGGAGGAAATAACTACAAATGTCCACTACAGAGAACATTTCTTTAAACCAGGGGTCGGCAACCCTAGGCACGCGTGCCACAGTTGGCACGCGAAGGAATAAATGATGTCACGACCATAACTAGACTGGCCATCGGGCATACCGGGCATTTGCTCGGTGGCAAGATGACGGTGTAAACAATGAAAGGTGGTGGATTGGCCAGATGCTGGCCGGTGTGTAAAAATAACTCAGTTGTTTGGTGGTGGCATCGCGGAGCTTCCACAGACTGAGTAACATTAGCAAGTGGTGGAGGCCAGCAGGTGGATGAGGGAAAGGGGAGGCAAGAGGAGGAGAGACCCAGAGGCGGCCGCCGGTCCGATGTGTCAGGTGAACTGATTGTCCGACTTCAGGCTAAGAATGGAAAAAGACACAAAGGTGGATTTATTTCGTCGTTACACTGCACAGCTGCCTCTTCTTCTCTCATTCTCTCCTGTTGCTACTTTAATCATGAAACTGATCAATGATCAGCTGATCGGCTTTTCTCTCTTGTTTGTTTATCGCCCACTTTGCGCCAGAAAGAGGAAACCATGTCGCGCTAAACAACAGCAGCACGTTTAAGCTTGATCAGCTGTTGTTAGAATTTATTTAATATTAATTTCTAGTATCAGCTGATGTTTGCTGGAGCCACAGCTGTAAAGCTGCTGGTCATGATGTCGGTTTGGTTATCTGGTGAGAGGGAAACATGAAGATGAAACCAGGAGATGTCCTTACTGAATCATCAGAGCTGTGATGGAGAAACAGGTTTACCTTTTAGGTGACATAAATGATTGAAGGGAAGTTTTGAACTGTTTCTGAGAGACAAATAACACCAAGATCCTTTTCTAAGTAGCTGACAGCTGGTAACTGTGCAGGGGCGGGTCTAGCAAAGCTTTGCCAGGGGGGCCAGGTAGGGCATTAACAGGGAGAGGTGGGCACAAAGAAATACTTTTCTTTCTTATTCTCATTTAAAATGTCTGACTGTTATTAAATAATTATCTGAATCTTACAACCAAATCAGATTTTCTCTCACATAAGTGTCCTCAGGTAGCTGTCTGAATGCTGGACACTCGGAGACCTGTGTCTCTGAGTGGGAGACCAGAGATCACATTAACATGTGTGTCTCTGTATTAACAGACATGCCATATTGGCTTAGTTTATTTTTCTTATCATTGTTGTGAGGAGACCATAAATAGCATTTGTATTTTCTGTTGTACAGTTCATTTGCTCTTATGGAGTTCTTGTTATGGATAAAAAGTCTTTTTTTGTTTCAAAATAGCTGATAGCTGCCAACATCTGCAAACAAATATAAATCTATAAAGTGGTTCTGTATTGTGTGTAACTGTTCATATAGAGCATTATTAAATTTATTGCTAATGCAATCATATGGCACGCTGACTTCTGAGGAAATTTTAAATGGCACTCACCATCAGAAAGGTTGCCTACCCCTGCTTTAAACACTTCAATACTATCCTTAATTAAAGTAAAATTAGTATACTATGGTTTAATGTGTTATTATTAAGGGACTTATCTAAAATATGTTAACAACATTTATAGTCAAAAATTGCTCAATAAAATGTTTTATGCACTTACTTTTTTTTCTTCCCATAAAATGTGCTTGTAGTGATGGCCGTCATGTTCCTTGATGAAAAAACTAAAGTTCCCAAAGCCTCACCTCTTCACATTTGGTATCATTGGAAAGCCCTAAATGTGCTCTGTAGATACCAAAAGGAGGTAATTCTGTAGTATGTAGTGGATGGGAGATATTCAGGTTTAGAAATGTCCTCTACAGAGGACAAATTTGTATTACTGATGGTCAGGAGGACATGGGTGTAAGTACAACTGTATGGAATTTTTGGGCCAGAGCACAATTTGATAAGAGAAGTGTTAAAGGATGTTCCACACTTCAGAGAACTGACTCTTAAGGTGCATAGAGTTAAGTGTTAATTACAGTATTTGTTACTAGTTACCAATGAGGAGAGTTAATGTGTTTAATGAAACCTTTGACAAGTAACAGGCAGTCAACTATAACCACTGTTTGGTCCTGCATACTGTCATGACAATGCAGGTAAGAATACACTGTGATTACGCGCACATAAGAATGAATAAATTATTTTCATGTCTGGTGACATTGGTGTTTGAAGGATGACATGGAAGGCAGGGATTTGTTTTTTGTGTTTTTTCTTTTTACACTGTTAAGCATTTGTAGCTTTAGCGACACATGAAACCTGGGGGTTTAAGTGTCGGTGGGGTTTTAAGTGATTGTGAAGATGTTTTCAGGTCTAGTACAATAACAGCACTTGATTCCTTATCAGGTTGAAAGATGTTTTTGTGTTCCTGTCAATCAACAGTGTAGTTAAAACACATGGTGAAAGATATGAAAGTAACAGTATGAACTAGTAATTCTCTGTTCTACAGCTTGTACTTCCAGGGTATTTGTGACACCTAAAGAGACTACTGCCAGGAGGCTGAGGGGTATCATGTAATTAATGTTGCAAGTCACTACAGTGTAAAGAGGATCACCTATTGCTAATTTTGTTTTTTTCTTTTCACACTCAGCAACTTCATACGGTCGCGGGACCTACTTTGCTGTAAAAGCCAGCTACTCAGCCCACCCCACCTACTCCAAGCCAGCTGCTGATGGTTCTCAGTTAATGTTCGTCGCCCGAGTCCTCACAGGCGTCTACACTCTAGGCCAAAAGGATATGATGGTGCCTCCACCTCGAGACCCCCAGCAGCCTCACGACCGCTATGACAGCGTGGTAGACAGAATGTATAAACCCAGCATGTATGTTGTGTTTCATGACAACCAAGCGTACCCTGACTACCTCATCACATTCAAGGGAGAGTAAAGGAAAAGTGTTTTCCACTGTTTACAAAGGAAGGTGTCTTAAAAACCCCAAAATAATAATATAAAACTTATATATGTACATTTGTAAACACAAAATTTTTTATGAATTTAAATTCCATCCATCCATCCATCCATTCGCTTCCGCTTATCCTTTTCAGGGTCGCGGGGGGCGCTGGAGCCTATCCCAGCTGTCATAGGGCGAGAGGCAGGGTACACCCTGGACAGGTCGCCAGTCTGTCGCAGGGCCAACACACAGGGACAGACAACCATTCACACTCACATTCACACCTAGTGGCAATTTGGATTATCCAATTAACCTATCCCCACAAGCTGCATGTCTTTGGACAGTGGGAGGAAGCCGGAGTACCCGGAGAGAACCCACGCAAACACGGGGAGAACATGCAAACTCCACACAGAAAGACCCCGGCCTGATGGTGGAATTGAACTCAGGACCTTCTTGCTGTGCGGCAACAGTGCTAACCACCGTGCCACCGTGCTGCCTAAATTAAATTATTATTGAATTATATCTGATTTTAAACTTAATTATTGATCTGCCACTGAATTTGTCATGGTCCTGGGCCATGTTGGCCCAGTATTCTTAGTTTTTGTGTGTTTTGTATTTTGTTCCCTATTTATGCCTTGGTTCCTAGGTTATTTAGTTAAGATGTTCCTTATTTGGTTACCTCCTGTGTGCCCCTGTGTATCTGTGAGCCCTCGTCTCTCCTTGTGTTTTATTCCATGTTTTCCCCAGCCCGTTATGTCTGTGTTCTCCCCGTGCTCTCTCTCCTCCTGTCTGAACCTCCGTGTACTTCCTGTTTTACTTTGACAGTCTCTCGTCAGCATGCGTCATGTTGTGTTCACTCCTGCCCTGTCTCGTTATGGTTATCTGTGTCAGCTGTGTTCCCCGTGTGTTCCCACTTCCCTCGTTAACCCTCTGTGTATTTCTGTCTGCGTCTCCCTCAGTTCGGTGTCGCATTCTCCCTCATGACTGTGTGCCCCGCCGTGTGTTTCCTCGTAAGTCCGTTCCTTAGTACTTCCCAGTTTAGTTTCATGTTATTTTGTATCGTTGTCATCTTTTGTCAGCAATAAAGCTGTATTTTGAGTTCAGTCCTGTTTTCCCATGAGTTTGTGTTTGGGTCCTATTTCCTGCCTGCCACACAGCCAGTTCATGACAGAATTAGTTAAACAGTAGCTGCTTCTGATTGAATGAAATGAAAAGTCCTGAGAACCAGCCTTTTATGGCCTCATTTATGGCCTCTGTAATGGACATTTGTTTTTAGTCAATATCTTTTGACCTCTTTGAGCTACCCTATTAAGTCCTGATGTACTAAATAGAGGACATCCTGGGCTTTCCATTGATATCTCATGTGTTTGGATTGTCTCTATTACTTCTAAAGAGGAAGAAAATCACCAAAAAAGGTCAATGGGAAGAGTCTCTTATTCTCGGTTCTCAGGTGGATATGTATATAAACACTGGAAACATATTACAAGATTATGCCGTTTTTAATCTTTTATATAGTTGACATTTGCATCATATATCTTCACTTTGTAAAGTATAAAGCACTTAGAATCACATCTAATTAATCTGAGAACTTTTCACAATACCATAATAAAGATTTATTGAATGATAGTCTGGTCCATGCTTAAAAGAGGGAAAAATTAGAGTAGGTGGGTGATCAACATTCAAAAGGAAACTGTGAATTTTTAATTGAATACTTGTAACCAGAGATTGGCAGTAACGCGTTATACGTAATGTGTTACAGTGGTCCCTTTTTTGTCGCAGGAGTTAGGTTCTAAAAATAATCTGCGATAGGTGAAATCCGCAAAGTAGCAAACTTTATTTTTTACAATTATTATAGATGTTTTAAGGCTGTAAAACCTCTCACTACACACTTTATACACTTTTCTCAGACAGGCATGAACATTTTCACACTTCTCTTGTTTAAACACTCTCAAAGTTCAAACCTTAATAGAAAAATAACAAAGATCAGACCCTGTTTTCAGGTCCAGAACATGGGAATAGAGCATTAATGAATCAATGGTACAGAAGTAGTCTCATTCACCCAGCGGTGCAGAAAGAGTTCTCTACTGGAGTCCTACTTCATGTGACAAATCTGGCCGGTGTAATTGGCTGTGCCTTTCAGGGAGTTATGTTTAGTTTTAGCAGCGGTAAGCCTGCGCTGCGAGGACCTGCAATTAAGAGAGGAGGATGGCAAAAAGGAAGAACCTGGATATAAGAAAGTATTTTTCAAAGAAATCTGTAAGTCACTTAAAGCCAAGTTAACACATAAAATGTGTCTGTCATAATAACGTTACAGGCTATACTAAGCTTTGGCCCACATCAGTCTAAAATTGTATGTAACCATGAATAGCGTGTTTTGGAAACTAACTGCACAGCAGGCAGCACTATTAGTTCTCTCAGTCTCCCAGAGCATTTCTAATTTTGATTGAAACTGTCAGAGAAAACGGCAGCCTCGAGTAAGCCAGGATATTAGATATTAGATACAGAGGCTGTTAGAATTATATGTCTAACGTTAAAATGTTGGTGACACAATAATTTCATCCTAATGGTACTGACATATTCATAGGGTTAATTTTTGAGACAAAATATCATGAGGTAGTCATGATTTTGCAAATATTCCACCTTGTAGTGCAGTTTGCACAAATTGTTTTAAAAATGCACTCACCCTACAAACATTACTGATGAGTCAAGATCTGCACAAATTGACAGAAACACTGAAGCAGCTCCACATTTTATTCTTATTGTCATGTATGTCCTATTTGTCAGGTGACAGAAGAACCAACACAAAGCTCAGAGAGCAATGGTGATACAAGATCACAGGTGAAGTTGGATGATGACTTGTTGGTTCATGACTGTATTTGAAGCACATGTGTGACTGCATGTATGTGGAATGTCTCACTGTTATTTATCAGGTGACAGAGGCAGCTCTGCCATGTTGTAGCTCAGACGGTGAAGAGGCGAGGTCACAGGTGACTGACTGATGATTTGGTGCTATAGATTAACTAGTATTTATTATCATGACAGTTGTTAGGCTGCTGATGTAAATTGATTCATTAGTGTACATTTGACAGCGAATCTGAATTGACATGTCTCACTTTTTATATGGCACGAATCAATGTGTTATTTTATCAGGTGGCAATATGTCCTAGTGCAGTCAAGGGGAAGAGCCAGGGCCAAAGCTGAGGCACATCAAGCACAGAATAATATTCATCTTAGATGAGTAGTTTTATGTACAAAAACCACCAGGTCATTCAGTGTTCCCTTAGTGCTAATGTATAAGAGATGTTGGTGTACTATAACTGTAGTAATGTTGTTAAGTCCTTAAAGTCATATTCTTTTATTGTCATGACTGTATTTGATGCTATTTTTATTTTTGTATGATACCTGATTTATATGGATTATGGCTGAAGTAAACTAAAGTCTAAAATACTTAGTCAGTCATTTGTTTAATAGTAATTTAACATTATGTAATTTACATATAAAACTATGAATTGTGATTTTAAATGGTTTAAAAGCATGTAGAATAGCATATGTATATGTAGCATATGAGGAATATGATTAGGTTTGAGACTTTTCAGAGATTTACAGCGGGACCTGGGTGGTCCCTCGGAATGCCATTCACTCACTTGATGGATAAAGTGAGACATAGAGTAAGAAGCTGGGCTAACAGAGAGACAGACTGACATGGGGACAGGAAGTGAGTGAGAGGCAGGTGGAAGGGCTTGATTAGAGTGTGACGTGAGAAGAGACTGCCCTGACACAGGGACAGATAGTGAATTGACTCCAACTGGAGGGCGGGGGGTGATACTGCAGGTCACCACCTGACATGTAGAGGTAATCCACACATGGGCCAGCACCGGACCACCATTGTGTCTCCAACTGGCTTTGTGCTGGCCCATGTGTGGGCCACCTCTGGTAAACCTGATCTGGGCCACCAAAGGGCTGTCATTCTTTGTGGTATGTGGGCCATGTGTAAGCACATTGTGTGGGCCATATCCAGGCCATACCAATTTTGCTATGTGGGTTGTAATTTGTTTTTCTTTTTAAATTATTGTCACGCTGTTAAAATATTGTCTATAAGCTGATATATTTTTGTTAGCTGTGGGGTTCAGGACCAGTTAAGTTTCACTGTTTATTCTTGTGTCCTGTGTGCAGTGGGGTCTGGTAGTTTCAACACTGACATACTTTGTAGAGTTATATTAAGATGTGACAAGTTGAATGAACTGCTCTATACCCTAGAACATACCCCAAAGCAAACCTTTACACTACACACACACATACACTAACGTCAGCATTCCCAACTTCAAGGCCCTCCCCACAGCTCTGCACATGACCCTAATGGAAAATTGCAAAAAAACATAAATAAGTTCAGGATTTGGTGGGCTCCCAGTCAGCTTTCCTAGTGTGTGGTGACTTCACTGGCCCACTTCTGGACCTAGCAGCCTAAGACAGGGATTTTTCATGTTTATAACTGTGGTTTATAGCTAATAGCTATTATAGCTAAAACAAACAAACAAACAAACATTGGACTGATTCAGCAGACTTCAGATCTCTTGTTAAAACCTTATATATTGTGAGGTTGAAATTGTTAAATATTGTCATTGCGTTATTAAATTTGTAAGAATGATCAAAGACATTCTTCTGTTTCTGTTGACCTCCCCAGCCTGTATTTTATTATAGGCACATCCTATGTGAAGGTTCTGTTTTCTTGTTTAGTAACTTCCTGCTCTTATGACCCTTTTGTGGGCAGGAGGTCACACAAACGCACCCCCAAACACACACACTCACATGCATACACACACACACATACAGATGGTCACACACACACACATACACACACACACATACATAGACACACGTGCTTACACGTGCACACACATACACACATAGTACCTTGTCTTTTAGAACCATAGGGGGTTACAATGGGTGGTGCTTGTGTGTACTGTAACTGTTTTCAATAAAAGGGCAAGCAGAAGCTGGTTCTTCGAAGTGGTCTGACCAAGGGCAGCAGGGCTGCTCTGAGATCCTTCAAGTAAAATCTTGCTGTTTGTCTTGCTTCCTTGTC